ACTCTCGTTATGTTGACAGACTCTTGAGCACACCATTAGATGGAGATGAATATGTCATAACGAATGTGCAAGGATGGGACAATGAAGATGAAGCAGGTGGGAGCGTGGGCCTTGGTCCCACTGAGCGTGGTGTGTACAGATAAGGTCAATGTGATGTGGACTGTTTAAGGGACCTGCAGGAGCTTTTGTAATGGACCGAGAGAACGAGGGCAGTTTTAATTAGTGTGGGCTGCTGTCTGAGCTCTCATTCTTGATGATTCAATTTTTTCCACTCTCGTGCTCGTGGCCATGTTTGTTTATTTGTCCTTGTTTCACCGAAATGGCAAAAATACATCATTTTCTTTGGATCCCCGTGAATAATTTGTTTTATCTGCTGATATTTTGACACTTTTCCCATGGATTTAATTTGTTCTGCTCATGGTGATGGAAAATTGCTCTTTTAGTAAAATGACAGTAGGCTCTTGATGTGTTTAATTAAATAGCAAAAAAGAACAAAAATGAGTTTTGCTCCCTAAAAATGTTAAGTAAATAAATGTTCTTGTCTTTCATTTTTACTGAATGGACATTCCTCTTCTGGGATATAGCTATTCAGTAATAACATTTACCGAATAATAATTCAAATTAAATATACGGAGGTTAAGTTGTGACAGAATATTTGGTTTCAAAGGTTCATTGGTTTCAGACGGATTTACACAGTGCAACTGCTTCTCATTTCACATTTCCTTTTGCAAAGTTGTACTTATTTCAATACAGTAGCTAGCTGTTTTTGTTTTTGTTAGCTTATTTTAAAACTGAAGCTTTGCATCTTGGCTTTTTTTGTCTCATAAACAGTACATAAACATAATTTATATCTTTATACCAACAATATACCAGTTTTCTGTTTGTCTGTGTGTGTGCAAAACATGGCACATATCTTAAGCCGCTAAAGGCTCTTATCTATATCAGATATTATAATGTAATCATGTTACCTGGCAACCACCAAGCAATGAGCTAAAATGACAATTTTTTAAAAATTATTCATTCATGTACCGACAACACCTTATGGATGCAAACTGAGGTTTTAATTTCTCAACAGTAACATTTGATTTATATTCACAAAAGCTTATTTGTACAGAATGTATGGTAACATTATCATGTTGCCTAGCAACCACCTAGCTATGAGCTAAAATGACCTTTTTTTTCTTTTCTTTTTTCTTTTTTTTACTTATGCACGTGCAACACTTTATCACCTTATAAAAACACAAACAGGCCAATCAAGGTGTAGCATGGGCTTTTGCTTCAGTAGTAGAAAAAATACATGCGGTACTTTTGGTTTTTCCGTTATTTCCCAAGGGGTCACCACAGTGGGTGGATATACATATTTGATTTGGCATAGATTTTACCCCACATGCCCTTCTGATACATCCCTCCTAATTATCCGGGCCTGGGATGGGCAGTAGGAGTACACAGGCTGTGTCTGTTTCCCCACTCAGTGTCAAACTATGCTAACCGCTACTCCGTGAAGCCACAAGTAGTTGATGAGTAGATCAAATAAAGCAGGTAAAAATTATTTGTAGAGCTATTTTTGCTTTGTTATCATGCCAGCCGTATCGACCTATGATTAGTGCTCACCTGTGCTTTGCGTAACTGTTTTTCTGAGTATATGAGAGTGTGCACTCTCCGTTTTTGAGAATCATTGAGTGTTTTTCATCATTTTAAAGTATAATGAGCCAAAAAGGTTTGGGGACACAGATTCAGAGTAACAGGGGAACTATTGGAGGAGTTGATGAGTCGCTCTTATGCAATTTGTAATAAACAAAATTAATGTCACTTCTATATGGAGATAGGGAAGGCGGTAGAATTTGGCACACATGTGTGAAGTTGAAATCCATCTTTTAGGAATAAACATTCCTGGTAAAACATGTGATTATATCACAGTTCCTACCCGCCTGTGTCTGTTGATGGTTTATCTGCGTTTCATCTCTGGTTATAAAGAATGAGATACATGTGCGGTTTGAGGGCGCCATGAGGTCACAGCACCATCATTTGTTTTCTGCCAGTGTGCTCAACTATTGATTCTGACACTGATGCTCAAGGCAAATGTCGGCTACGTTTACCCAGATTAATTAAAAAGTCCCTCACGTCACATTGCCCAGAGGTGTGAGCTGGCTCTGTCAATACCAGCAGAGCGTTTAAACTCGAAAAGCTTTTGAGACATAGTTTACAAAGATAGACAGCGTTTCGGTGATATTTTAACTTCCACGTGTGCTGTCACTCAGAGGGGTTAGCTGCTCGGTTGCAGTTCCACAGCCAATCCAGAAAATCAATAAAAAAATTGCCTTGTTTTTGTAAAAATAAATAAATAAAAGTGTAATTGAACCATCTATTAGTGCTGTTCACGTTTTATGAGAATTGGGCAGGGTGGTTAGCAAGGTGAGAGCCAATCACTAAAGCACATGCTTTGCTTATTAATCACAAAAGATCGCTGTTTTTTAACGCCTTCTCTTTACAATGCACACTGACAGTGTCACCCTGCCCTCTCTCCAAAGAGCGTGACAATTATGCCTGCAATTAGAATGTAATTGTTTTCATTATCAACCCAGGTAATGCTGTTTGTCAGACTTTAATGTGGATTGTGCTTCTTAGTCCCACTTGCCCAGAGTTTTGAAAAAGCTGCATGGTTCCTCCACAGTGGAGCAGAAAACACTATATTTAGTAATCTGGTTGAGAAAAAGATAAGCCTGGATGTTAAGAGCTTTTGTGTGGGAACATTTAATTGTTGGCTTGGTTTTTATCTACAGTGCAGTACACTGCAGCAAGCAAATAAAACCACTTGGGACCATAAAAGACAAACATTTTAGCCACTTGTCATATGCACTATTTTATACTTAAAAGGCAGCTGAGACATTATCGGTGGTAATGTTTATCTGTAGAAATGGTTTATAGCTGCAAGCCATCTGAGGAGAGACAGCGCAGATGTAGCGTACAGCTGAGAATGTGAATAGCTGTAGAGAGATGAAGTCTTGATATTAAATCCAGGCCAGCTGCTCTTCCGCATATTTGATATTCTACATAATGATTTCTGGAGTGACACCGTGGTGGGGTCTGTGTAGAGTGTGCCTGCTTGATTCTAAACTTCCTCTCACAGTAAAGGATATCAGGTAATGCTAAACTGGCTCTAGGAGTAAATTGTCTGGTTACCTGTCCATCCAGGGTGTAGCCTTCCTTTCTCTTTTTTACAGCTGGGATAGGCTCAAGCCCTTCCGTGATGATTGCTTTTCCCATATGTATATTATTATCCCACAATATTTCACTATTATAGCTGTCATTTTTCCTGCTTATAGTGATTTTCTCCACTATGGTAAGCTGTTTCTGTTCTCTTAAATCACCACTGCCTTTGTAGAAGTGTGACAGATTGTTAGCATTGTTAGGACAGTCTATAGTCCCTGTACATTGGCTACAATCAGCTGAATTCAGTACCAGCCAGGGTCCATCAGCTGATGGGTCTGCTGATACTCTTCTGCACATGATATTGATAAATCTATTTTAAACTGCTTATGCTGCCATTGAATGAGAGGAAGCAGTGATTGGAGACTGTGGCGTGATGAAAGTTATTATGATCGTATGCAATGAACTTGCAGTCTTGTTGCCTTTGGTTGCTTTAAAGATGGGCACCAGTTCTACAACCACTCACACTCAGCTGACATCCTCAGGGCAACTTTGGTGCATGGAGGTGGTGATAAAAATGAAAATAAGATACGAGTCTCTCTGTTATCGGTTTGTGATTGAATGGGTTCAAATTGGCAATTACATGCAATTTGTTTGCAATAATGCAGTGAGTAACTGTGATAGATGGGCAAATATCACAAATCTGTTGCCATCTACATCTACAGAGGTTAACCAGAAAATGACATTAACTGATTGCATTCAAAGTCCGCACAAAGCCTGATTTGAAACAAAAGTTACTTCGCCAAGGGTAGTTGTTGCAGGACTGCGAATTACCTGCGAAATGACACAGGCGCTTAGCAACAATGCTTTTACAGAAATATTACCAGAATGCAAACAGTTGGCAGCCAGTCGAGTGCCCTCTACCAAAGAGACACAGATGAACTGGGCTCATTGATGTAGTCTACACTCGGATTGATCTGCATTTATAAATTAGACACTTGTTATTTGCAAACTTTTGCCAGTCTTTCTGAGAGTGGTTGCTGTCAGCCTGAGTTGGAGCGCAATTGTATGGAAATAGGTTGCCTTCAATTGCCATCACATTGCAACTGAAGGCAGTTGCTCAGCTGTTTGCCACAACTGCTTGCCAAATGTGAAAAAAATCCAGTGCAATCAGCAGGCAGCCACCAATTTATCCTATTTGAAAAGAGATTGCATCCTTTCTTTACTCTGGTGTGACTGAGCCATTAGCCCATATACAGTTGCTGGTACCCCTGCAAACTACCTCCACCCCAACACCTGCTTTTTCCTGCTGTTTCTGTTATGTCATAATCAGTACATCACGTTTGATGTCACTGACGCCTGTTCTGTGCTGGGGGTCTTTTATTGCTCTGCAGTGAGACAACTAGGACCCAGAACACTGCTGTCAAATTTCTGCAGACTGAATAAGTCTTCTTTTAAATGAAGTGGTTTTAACTGAAATTCCATTGACCAAGGTTATGATGAAGAGCTGTATTTTTAAATTTGAATTTTAATATTTAATATTTTTTCTTTGTGATTTCTTTTTCTTTCTTTTTTTTTTAAGAAAAGCACTTAATACTTTGAAGCCACTCTTTAACTTTGCCCAATTAGATTTATGGCAATTTGGTTCAGTTCAGGGTCATTTTGTTTTAATTGTAATTTGATGTGCCATTAAAGTACAATATAAAATTAAAAAGAGCCTGAACGTGGCTTCTGTTTATTACAATTCTTGAGATTAATCGCCTTTAGCCACCCACATCTGTGCCCATTATTTCTAATGTTCCAGCTCCATTATGCCTAACCACTATATTTTTGTCCATGCTTTTTCTCTGCAGGTGATGTTATTGTCTACATCAACGATGTGTGCGTCCTGGGTACCACCCATGCTGATGTGGTGAAACTCTTCCAGTCTGTACCTATTGGCCAAAGCGTGACTCTCGTATTATGTCGCGGTTATCCTTTGCCGTATGAGCCAGAAGAAGCTGCCAACACCAACAACAACACCACCACCATCATCTCCCCACTGGGCATCATGGAGCAGCGGCCCATTATGGTGAACGGCAGGACGGGCTACGATAACTACCTAGATTATCTCACCCGCACGGCACGCTTTGTTACAGACCCCAGTCAGGACCCGGTCAGCGCCCAGCAGCAGCTGCTCACTGGTCACCCAGCGGACACCCACTTAGATGGCTCGCTTCCTCCCACCACGGGTACTACGCCACCAGACAGCGTCTCTATGGCATCATCGGGCGCGACCCAGGGAGAGCTACTAACCCTGACCATGGTGAAGGGCGTGGATGGGTTTGGCTTCACGATTGCAGACAGCGCCACAGGTCAGCGTGTTAAACAAGTCCTGGAGCCTCAGGGCTGCCCGGGCCTGTGCGAGGGCGACTTAATTGTGGAGATTAACAAGCAGCCCGTGCAGGGATTCGGTCACACACAGGTGGTGGAGCTGCTCAAGGAGTGCCCTGTGGGAGCTGAGACCTGCCTCTTGGTTCAGAGAGGTGGAACAGGTGAGAAGGTGTTAAAGGTAGTGTTGCTGGCTTTGGAGAAGAGCTTGAATCTCTGTCCTTCTTCCTGTCTGCTTGTTCATTTCTGTCGTCTTTTGCTGGTGTGTTTGCATGTGCGGTTTAGTCCAGTGACAGCAGAAATCTGTGCTACAGTCCCTCAGTGCACAGCAATGACTTACTGATCTTCAGCTGCTCTCAGATGTCCTGCTAAGTCCGCTTTACTGTTCGCTGTTCCTTGCTCCTCATTGACAGCAGATTCCACTCCAGCTATACTAGGGGTCCCCTAGTATAGTCTGATTGCGTCTGAAAGCGTAAGCTTTTTCTGTGTTATTTTCAAGCCCACTTTCTGATTTTCTTTTTCTTTTCTTTTTTTCATTTTCACATGTATAGTGAATTTTACCTTTTCTACAAGATCCAAATAAAAGCCCGCAAATCAAAGCATGTCAAAACTGGCACAGTTTTTCCTTGAAACACTGGTAAATGGCTCTGAAGTGCTTTCAACTCTGTGTTTTTCAGAATGGGAGGCCCTCTCACACTCTCTGACAATCATAATTATGCACTGCACTTTGTCATGAGTCACACACAGGGCTGTTATTTGCCGAATCTACGTGTAGCTGAGTGTGTGTGCGGACTGATGGAGGACATTGAGTGTTAAGTGTGTACAAACGTCCGTATTCTTCTAGAAGGCCAGAAACCTTTATATTGCTGTCTTTTAATGGCAATGTCTATGAGAGAGTTGCTGTCTTGTCTTTGGGAAATATACATATGACTCAAATGACAGAGCATAAGTTGTGTGTAAGCTTCCTGTGATCTGCCTACAAACTGAGATTGCCTTCTTATTGAATTGTGGCGGCGGTGCATCTGTCAGCGATGACTCAGCCGAAGCACCGACGTTGAAGATTAAAACGTTAGAGAGTTTAATTAAATCTAGAAACGGCAACAGTGGCTCTTCATCAACCAAGCAGATAGGATCTGTCTCTGGAACCTTATTGTTAAATGTTGTTAAATGACTCCTCTCTTTGCGTTTACCTGTCCTTGATTTATCTTGGCATCCTCTAAGTGATGATGCATGAACTTTAGCATGCTCTCATTTGCAGAGCGAGCTGGAATCTGAGCCAACTCGTTTGGAAAACTGACACTGCTGTTTCTTTTTGTGTGCAACCAATTTGTAGTTCCGTGTTTTGCCTCTTTGTGTAGTGTAATGTCGCATACCAATCATAATGCCAACCGCCTGGGTGCCACAGACACCACTGAGACTCACGCGCAAAGGTCAGCAGCGGCCACTGAATAGATTTATTCCCATTTATTTCTTTATTAGGCTGCCCATGTCTCTGCTAGTGAGCAGGGAGCCAGCAAACAGGGGGGGGAATAGAGGGATGACATGAGGTATTATCATGGGAAGATAATGTTTTGGGTTTTTGGGGGGGAAGGGGTTTGTAATCCAAAAAATCTACAAAAAACAGCATCACAAAAAAAAATCTGAAATCTGGTTGTGTTATGTTAGCGCCAGTAAACTGCAATACATCAGGGCGTAGTGTCGCATCCGATGGCGTTGATTGCCTGTGACATGACAAGTTGCAAATGCGAAAGGTGGAACAAATGTCAGGGCCACCCAGCTTGCTGTTACTGCAGCACAACTACATACGGCACAAATTTGTGTCAAAGTGAGTAAAGTTAAGAAAATGTACCAGTGGGGTGGAGTTTTTAGACATCGTGCATCTCCTGAGAGTATTTTTGGGATTTAAGCAGGAAAATTCTGCCAGACTTTAAGCTTGTTAAGATCAAAGTACACACTCTTCTGAGAGTAAATGATCACAATAAACTATTTTCAGTTTTGTTAGAAGTCTTTGTTGGTAGAAATTAACATGAGAAATGGGGTTAAAGTAGAAACCTATAGATGGTGAAAAATTTGAAAATGCTTAAACCTTTGACACACACCCCCACCACCACCACCACCACCTATAAAGAGTGGGCAGTGGCTCTGTTGTGCTCCAGGGGGCATTTTGCTGGATAGTTGGTCACTGCACATTAAAACAGTTGTTCTGGGTGATCATCCCATCTTCAGGGATTACAAGGGGATCATTTCTTTTGTGTCCCTCCAAAGGTTCTATGGTGAATATACCTGTGGTTGAAATGGGACTTTAACATGGGCCTTCATTTCTCTTTCGACTGAATAAAGTCTGAATAAAGAAGTTGAATTTTTTTCCTATCGAATCCCATATTTAGGATATAGGAGCTGCGTAGGTTTGAGGGAAAGAGACAGGATTGTGAGATCAAACGCAGAGCAAGACATGGCTGCAGCTTCTCCTTCCATGCTTAAATCATTACCATTTCTGACTACGATGTCTGATCCTCTGGGGTTGTGAAAGGAATACTTTGCTTATCAAGCTTGTTCACAGTGTTACATGTTTGTTCCTGTTAAGGAAAAGGATGCACTGAACTGCAGAGTAGCAACTGACTACAATGTTGCCAATTTCTGCAAATAAGTAATTGTGATTTCTATTCTTCTCATCCGTAAACTCTCTCCACACTCTTTCACGTGATTCTTGGGTAGATGGTAGAAGAGGTTTGTCATGTTTGGGGCACGAAACAAGCGATAGCGTATAATATGAAACAATAGGCGTTTTAATTTTGTCATCCAATATATTTCATCATATCGCACAGCTCCATTTTTTGACACACAATTTTCACTGACAGAAACAAGATTTGATCAAGAATTACCAAAGTTTCTGTCCATAAAACTGAAATAATCCATGTGCACCACACCACAGTGTAGTCCACAGTGTTCAGGTTGAAGGTGGCACATCAGGTGAGGAGTCCTTTCAGGAGCATGATCAACAGTGTTTATATTAGGCTTCAGTCACACAAGCCTGTAGATCATTGGGCGATGCCAACACTCCCCAACTACTACTAGGTGGATGTGAAACTGAGCAGTATGATGTAAAGCAGAGATTGAGAGATTCAAGGTAAAAGTTGCGCATTCTGAAACATGTTGGATTTAGCTGCAAAGGGTCTGTTTCCTGTTTCCGTCAGGCCTGGGTGACTGCGATCTTACTTCTCACATAAGGGAACAGCAAAATTGTATATCTCAGTTAAAAGGTTTTATCTTTTATGGAAAGATTAGATAGCACCAATCTTAACTAACAAATACAACATTTAACAACAAGTTGGATGGCTTTAAATTTTTAGTTTTGATGATGGAACTACCACTTTGTTTCAGGGCAGGGAACAATTGCTTTGACTGCTGTGGCCTTAAAATAAATAAATATTATTTTTTTTAAAAACGGGGCAAAATTTAATTGCACATTCACTTGGAGAAGAACAAGCTGGATAAGCTGCACGAATACGAGCTGAAATTGTCTCCACCCAAGCACAAAAAAATAATCTGTTCATCCAGTGCTTGAATTCACACACAGCAACACAGAGAGAGGAAGACTGGGGTCTCTGGTGAATTTTGATAAGAGATCAAATAATTTCTAATGATGTTAATGTTTACCCATCTTTCTAGATTTGCTGAAAGCCAACTGTGAGTTGATAAAAAAAATTTAAAAATCCTACACGTGGGAGGTAAAAAAAAAAAAAAAAAGATAAATGCCAAAAGGTGCACACACAGTCAACCATCTGAAACGCATTAGGCTACATTTGTTCACCATAAAAAAGATCTCTTTAATTTTACAGTGAGAGGCTAACATTAGCCCTTCAGTTATTTAAACGAGACAACGATAGCACTAGAAATGATGGTAGAGTGTGCAAATGTTTTGGCCCTTTATAAAAATGTATCCTCATATCATGAAGGAGCCTGCCAGCTTCACATCAAAGCTACAGCAGAAAACCGATTCTATCCACTTCTATTGAATCAATTGTTTCATGTTGGTCTTGTGTTTTAAAAAAAAATCAGCCTCATTGCAGTTGTGTGCAAAACAAAATCATTTCTAGGTACACGGTTGAATATGCGTGATATTAAAGCAGAATTTATTCAAACACGCTCGTGCAGTCACTGGGTAATCGCTCCATCCCATTAAAAGCCAAATAGGAGCGCTTGATTTGTTTAAGAGGCAACCGAGGTCAGTGACTCTACTCCTCCCACAGACAGGAAAGGGATTCAAAGCACAATATAGAGTTCAGTGGTCTAAGTTTGATGGCAATAAGGCTCCCATCGCATTTTCTACTTGATATAATCTCAGCATTTCGCCCTTCATGCACAATACCCTGGCTCCCTCCCTGTGCCAATAGGAATGGATATTGATCCCTGGCGGGCACCGCCTCAGCTTTGGAACCGGTGGGGACAGAGCTGCAAGTGTGAACATGGCAGACAGACTGTGGCTTACTGGCAGAGAGCCGAACTCATCGCTCTCTTGCTCTTTCCTCCCCTTCTCTTTCTCTCTTTTGTTTCCAACTATTCCATCTTGAACACACACAGCCAATGAATCACTGTCTAGTTACACACTGATTCCCTGGGAGGCTAGAGGAGGCTCACTGAATCAAACCCTTGTTCTTTTCTTCTTTTCCTTTTCTAGAGAGCAGACCTTCACCTGAGGTCTGCACGGTTTCTAAAGCAGCTGGTGGTCACATGAGGCGAAATGTCAAACCAGGCATAATGTACAGTTTACTCATGGTACTACTAGCAAGGGGAGTTTATGTAAGTGTGCAGGGGCTTGCGTGCAAAATTTGCCTGGGGATCTGTGCGGATAAGATGAGGAAAGTGTGTGCCTGGCTGTTGTGTAGGTGTGCGCACAAACTGTGTGAATCAAACCATGTGGCTCGGCGTTTGTGCGAGTGCGTGGGCGGGCAGCAGTGAGGGAGAATGTGGCATGTTAGTGGAAGCTAAATGGTCGAGCGTACATGTGAAAGAGATGATAGTCTCGGCAGCTAATTACAGCCCTGCATCTCTGCTGGTGTTGCAACGAGGACACAGACTGTTAATGGTCTAGATCGCCACTAATGAGCCTGTCTGGCATTGACACACATACACGTGCCACCCATACACACAGGCACAATAATTA